AGGAGCAGGAAGGCTGACGTTTCAGGCCTAGACCCTTCCCGAAACGTCAGCCTTCTTGCTCCTATGATGCTGCTTGGCCTGCTGTGTTCATCCAGCTCTACACCTTGTTATCTCAGATTCTCCAGCATCTGCAGTTCCTACTATCTCTGCCCTTGATATCAAGGCTGCATTTGACCGAGTGTGGCATCAAGGAGCCCTAGCAAAACTGGAATGAATAGGAAACATGGTGAATCCTTTCTGGTAATCGGAGTCATTCCTGGCACAAAGGATGATGGTTTTAGTCACTGGAGGTCAGTCACCTCAGCTCCAGGACATCTCTGCAGGAGTTCCTTCGGGTAGTGTCCTAGGCCTATCCAACTTCAGCTGCTTTACCAATTACCTTACCTCCATCTGAAGGTCAGCATATTCGCCGATTATTGCACAATGTTCAGCATCATTCACAGCACCTCAGATACTGAAGCAGTCCATGTTCAAATGCAGTAAAATCTGAGCAATATCCAGACTTGGGCTGACAAGTGACAGTTGCCACTTTTGATGCAAAAACGTGGCAACAACCATCTCCAAAAAGAGAGATTCCACTCTTTGTTCTGTGACTTTCAATGAAGTTACCATCATTGAAACCCCTCGATATCAACCTCCTGGGGGGTTACCACTGATCAGACAAGCCTTATCAGCAGGTCAGAGCTTAGGAACCCTGCAAACAAATAACTCACCAACTGACTCCTGTCCACCATCTACAAGGCACTAGTCAGGAGCGTGATGGAATACTCCCCATTTACCTGGATGAGTGCAGCTCCAACAACACTAAAGAAGCTTGACACCATCCAGGACAAAGCAGCCCGCTTTATTGGCATTGCATCCACAAGCATCCATTCCATCCACCGCCCCACCACCTACACTCAGTTGCAGCAGTGTCTATTATCTACAAGATGCACAGCAAACATTCACCAAAGACTCTTAGACAACACCTTCCACACTCACAAATGCTTCCATCTGGAAGGACAAGGGCAGCAGATATATGGGAACATCACCACCTGTGAGTTCCTCTCCAAGCCACTCACCAACCCAACTTGAAAATATATCACCGTTCCTTCACTGTTGCTGGTTTAAAATCCTGGAATTCTCTCCCTCAGGGCATTGTGGGTCTACCTGAGCACTTGACTCAGTGGTTCAAGAAGGCAGCTCACTACCACCTTCTCAAGGTAATAAATGTTGACTCAGCCTGTGATTCCCAGATCCCAATGAATGAAGTTTTTTAAAAAGTGGTCACTCTCTATGAATCCCTGTCTGTGTACTGTTGCCAATCACACTATGACCAGTTGCTTGGTGAATTATGAGCAAATCAACGGGACACCCGTGTGATCGCCTATCTCCGGACTTATAGCAGAAGCAGAGATGCAAAGACTGGAAAGGGCTGCCCTTCCGCAAATCCAACCTAAACTATGGATACGCTACGTAGACAACACCTTTGTCATCATTAAAAGGACCAAATTAGAAGAGACACACAAACTCATAAACAACACCCTCAACGGAATAAAATTCACCAGAGAGGAGAAGAAGAACAAACAACTCCCATTCCTGGACGTCATGGTAGAGCACATGACAAATGGAGAACTGCAAACGAAAGTACACCGAAAAGCTACACACACAGACCAGGTACTGAACTTCAATAATAACCATCCCAGCACACACAAACGAAGCTGCGTGCGAACACTATTTAAAAGGGCAACAACACACTGCAGCAACATGGAACTACACCAAGAGGAGGAGGAATACCTCTTCCAAGTGTTCAAGGATAGTGGATATCCAAAGAACTGGGTCAGGAGATGCCTACAGGAACAGCATCAGAAAGATCCTACACGCCCCGACACACTCATCACACTACCCTACATCAGGAACACGTCAGAGCTCAGCACAAGACTTCTACGACTGCTGGGCATCAGAGTGGCACACAAACCCGCATCAACCCTACGACAAGTGCTCACCCGAACTAAAGACCCACTCCCCGCCATGGACAGGACCAATGTCATCTACAAGATCCCCTGCAGAGACTGCGAGAAACACTACATCAGACAAACAGGAAGGAAACTAACAACAAGAGTACATGAACACCAACTGGCTACAAAAAGGCACGACCAATACTCACTCATCTCAATCCACATGGACAAGGAGAACCACGACTTCGACTGGGACAACACCAAGATCCTGGGACAGGCTAGGCAGAGACAAGCACGAGAATTCCTGGAAGCATGGCACTCTATGAAGCATGCTATTAATAAACACATTGAACTCGACCCCATTTACATTCCACTATGGAGGAAACCCGGAAGTGAGACAATCCATCACAACGGACCCCAGAGTTTAAAAGCCAGGCGGGAAAACACACCGACACTTCATCAAAGGCTGCACTGAGGATGTTACCAAGCACGGTAACGAAACGTCTGCGGAACAACAAACCAGCTCAGCGAGCCAACCAACCTCAACGATATATTGGCATTGAAGAGAATAAAATGTAGGCTTACAAGAATGATACCTGGACTCCAGGGACTGAGATATGAGAAGAAATTATACAAATTAGGCCTGTTTTCTCTAGAATTTAGCATGTTAAGAGTGATCTGATTGAAATCTTCAAGATATGAACAGGAAAAGACAAGATAGAAAAGTTAAACAATTTCAACTAGTTGGGAATTCTAGAACTAGATGTTGAGGGTGGTGGGGGGTAGGTGGGGGGGCATAGTCTGAGAATCAGGGCCAGGCCATTCAGGACAGAGATTAAGAAGCAGTTCTACATCCAAAGGGTGGTAGATGTTCGGAACTGTCTTCTACAATATCTTCGTTAAGCAAAGGTGCTAAGGGATATGGGTCAAAGGCAGGTATACTGAGTTAGGCCACAGATATTGGTCATGATCTCATTGGGGGGCAGCACAGGCTCAAGGGATTGAATGGCCTACTTCTATTCCTATGTTCCTGTTCGCCTTAACTACTCCGTTTGATGGTATAATCCACAATCAAGCTCCTCAGTGGGTAAAGATACTTCACATGAATATAAATGATTTTAAAGAAAGGAGGTGATGGCTTAGTGGTATTATTGATGGGCTGTTAATCCAAAGACCCAGTTAATGTACTGGGGACCTGGGCTGAAATCTCACCTTGGTGGATGGTAAAGTTTGAATTCAATAAACATCTGGAATTGAAGATCTAATGACGACCATGAATCCAATGTTGATTATCAGGGAAAAACCCATCTAGTTCACTATTGACCTTTAGAGAAGGAAACTGTTGTCCTTACCTGGTCTGGCCTACATGTGACTCCAGACCCACAGCAATGTGGTTGACACTTAACAGCCCTCTGGGCAATTAGGGATGCGCAATAAATGCTGGCCTAGACAGTGACAAGTTCATTCCATGAATAAATTTTTTAAAAATTATATTAAAATGTTCAATTTTTGAGAAATGATGGCATTAACAACACTTAAGTCAATGATGATGTAATTCCTAAGATTGGTCAATTTTATTGTGATATTCGTCAAACTAAGATTATCCAAATGAAAAATAGCAAGCATCACTCTTCATTCCAATGCCGAGAAGTGGAGTGACTGGGAATTCAAAGATAATGTCCCAGACACACATGGCATCAACATCTGTGGTCTGTTCAAATACTTTCTGTTTCCCACAAAGCAGAAACACATCAAATTCAGTGCTATAAGGTCAGAGGTGGCAGCTGTAAAGAAATTTCCATCTGCATCTTCTCCTTGTGGAAGTGAACGTGTGTAATGAAAAATGATCGCCAGAGCTTCAAGATTTTGTGCAAATTAGAATACTTACATTTTATTAAAGACATTTAATAATCTCAGGACTTCTCAAAGAACTTTTACAAAGATACAAAGTACAGGTACTTCTCTCTCAAAACTGGCAGCAATCTCCAGACCAAGGGTGTTGTGAGTGGGGGTCAGCTCTGATGAAGAGTCATCAAGACTCGAAAAATTAGCTTGCTCTCTCTCTCCATGGATGCTTCCTGACCTGCTGTGATTTCCAGTATTTGGTGTTTTCATTACAGATTCCAGCATCTGTAGTAATTTGCTCCTACTCCATGTTGTGTGTGAGGGCATGTTCAGGCCAATCCAGGTCAGGAGGGGGGGTTAAGGTCTCCTTGGAGGGCTGGCAGAGATGACAAGCAACAAAACAGATAACAAGAAAGCCAAATTCTTGCGGATGCTGGGAATCGGAAGAAAACACACAAATTGCTGGAGAAACTCAGCACATCTGGCTGGAGCGAGAAAGACAGTTTAACGTTTTGAGTCTGGTAGGATTCTTCTTCCGAACTTGAAAACAGATAACAAGTCTAGTGGTGTGCAGCTGAACTATCCAAATAAGTTCATTTTAATCGAGTAAATGCTTTTTTGAAATTCGTGGCCCATTCTGAAAATGGTTGCTTTTGTCCATCAACTCCAGTTCTTAAACAGTTGGCTTTGAGAGAGTGTACCCTCACTGTATGTGTGTGTAATTTAGCAAACTGGCCAGTAATTTGTGCATGACAAGGTCCCAGAAAAATCAATAAAATAACTGACCAAACCATCCATTTTCGATGGTGTCACTTAAAGGATAAATATAGGACAGGACGTTGTATTTCCTATGTTCTATCGGTGCCCTGGGATTGGAGATCCTCAGAATAGTCAAGTCTGGATCTAAGTGAAACACAAAAGAGTTCTAGCAACAAATGGGCTGAGGATAGCGCAGAGATGCACTTGGCGATGGAGAGGATACTGGATCAAATTCAAGTGGGATGCCAAGATTGCAAACAGTCAGACTAAGCTTCAGGCCATGATCAGGAAAACGAATGGGGAGCCGCAACCAAAACTAATGGCACTAATCTTGACAGTATTTGGTAGGAAGACATTTCCGCCCATCCAATCCCAGATATTGGGTAAGCATCATGACAATCGTGACAACACAGAGGTAGTGGAGGGGTCAGCGGTGATGGGTCAGTAGGAGCTGGGTGTCACCATGAGGAATCTGACATGTAATTACTGGTAATGTCGCTGAGGAGTAACATCTAAATGGAAATGGGTGGAGTGGGGGTCAAGGATGGATCCTTGGGCAATACTACATGGGAGAAGGAACTGAATATAACAAGAACGAGCCAGATGTGAATGAGTATGAGTAAATGGATGTGTTAAGTGCGTGAATGAGGGTGTGAGGAAGAGAGAGTGTGTGTGTGTGTGTGTATTCATAAATGGGTATTTCAACAAGTGAATGGGTTTGTGGGTGGTGTGAGCAATCATGGGTTTGGGTGGGTGAATAAGGGTGTGGGTGGGAAATGATTACAGTTGATTGAGTGCAATTTAAGAGATGAGAAACTGCAGCAAATTAGCCATTTCCTCAAAACCCTGTTGAAGTTAGCGATAAACTGAAAATTTCAAAGTGATTTGCTAGGTTGTCAAGGGATATAGAAAAAACACGATTTTGGGTAAACACGATTTAAGACACAAATCAGACATGATCAAATGAATGATGGAACACCTGTTCCAATGTCACTGAGTTACCGAAGGATGTTATAACCGGGATAATCTCACCGTGCAGAGTTCCCCAGTGACCAGCTCTATCACTAAGCAACAATAGCATGGATGGCACTGTCCATCAGCTTCCACCATGGCAACCAATGGCAGCATGCAAATAAAAAGGCAACCTAAATAGAATAAACCAAACCTTAGGTGGGTGGCACTTAGGAAAATACTAGGAAGTAGCTATAAAATTTTCACCTCAATTTACAGTTCCAATTAAATATGCTAATCCATTTTAGGGTTCTATTTCTTAACCGATCCTGACCGTTGGTGAGAATCCATGATTGTATTTTTTACCAATATGCATCATTACTCCATTAACAGAGTGCATACATCACCTATACATTTAACACCCAGCACTGGGACAAGAATAAGAACTAATCAAAGTATTACACAGGCTCTGAACTTTGATGGAAAGCTATGAGGAACCCAATTTGCATCCAAGCTTTGGAAGCCTGACAGGAGAAAAGTTTGAGGAAATTCCAGACAATGAACAAAGCAACGAGGTCTACCAACGAGGCATCCACTCTCTTCCAATTGGCACAGGTCAGTTGTGTCTTATACTGCTCCATGGTTCTGTAAAGAGCGAGGAGATCAGTGCTGGCAAAAGATGAGTAAAACACAAGTAAAATCCTTGTAACTAGACTAAATTAATCAGTGCCATGCTCTTTGGAACAGATTTTTTTTCTTTATTCATTCACGGGATGAGTGTGTTGCTGGCCAGGCAGCATTTATTACCCATCCCTAATTGCTCAGAGGGCAGTTGAGTGTCAACCACATTGCTGTGGGTCTGAAGTCACATGTAGGATGGCAGTTTCCTTCCCTAAAGGACATTAGTGAACCAGATGGGTTTTTCAAGACAATTGACAATGGATTCATGGTCATCCTTAGATCCTTAGATCCTTAATTCCAGGTATTTTATTGATTTCAAATTCCACCATCTGCCATGATGGGATTTGAACATAGGTCCCCAGAACATTATCTGGGTCTCTGGATTAACAGTCCAGCAATAATACCACTGGGCCATTGCCTCCCCCATAGTTGTCAATCCATTGCTAAATAGTGTAAAATCCTTTAGTTCCCCCTTGTGGCCATATGTAAGTGGGTGTATTTAGCCAGATGAGACCCCCATTGCACATCCTCACTAGAAGGAGGTGCACGTAATGTTGTTGGTCCTGCAGCATTACAACTTGATCTTCAAGCCATATTCCTACCTAGGAGTTCTAGCACAGACAAACCTCTATCAATGCTTTGTGATCTCAGCTAAACATCTCTCAGTGCTGCTTACAACTAGTCTGACTCTAAAACTGAATCAGAGATAGTAGGAACTGCAGATGCTGGAGAATCCGAGACAACAAGGTGCAGAACTGGATGAACACAGCAGGCCAAGCAGCATCATAGGAGCAGAAAGGCTGACGTTTTGGGCCTAGACCCTTCATCAGAAAGGGTCTAGGCCTGAAACGTCAGCCTTTCTGCTCCTATGATGTTGCTTGGCCTGCTGTGTTTATCCAGCTCTGCACCTTGTTGACTCTAAAACTAGAAGCTGCAAGATTGCATGGTACATTTCAGGCATTATTAGATCTCCTACTAACATGGATTCCAACCAGCATTCCAACTGAGGGGTTTCAGATCCCAGAACACATCATTCGCCACCAGGTTCCAAAATCCCTGGAGTGCATCTAGTTCCCAGATACAACCGTTTCATCTTAACCAGCCAGCCCCTATATCCCTTCCTATCGATATGCTCCCAATCTCACCCTCCCTCTCAATGTTCCTCAACTCCCAGTCCCCACCATCCAACACCACCCCATTAACCTCCTCCCTCCTCTGCCAAGTTCACCTCTTTACTCTCAGTCTGTCCTTGCCAATCTCGATGCATAGCACTGACCTGATACACCGTTTCGACATTGACATCAATCTCAATGCACTCCTTGGACTTGTTCTTAAAAGAAAAAGAAAGGGTTAGAGTTTTGCTGTACAGCGTTTGAGGGGAGTGTGACTAACAGAAAGAGAGAGCGCAAACAAGTTCAAGAAAAGCCTAAAGACAGAAGTAAATGTGCAGGATGAATTAAAAAGTTGAGAAGAAGCAAGTGAATTAGATAGAAGAGAGCACAACATTTTTTGACCATCAGAGCAATGAATTGTTAAGATTTGATTAATACAGCTTAAAACAAGTTTATCAAAAAAAAAAGCATTTTAAACACAATGTCAGAGATAGTAAGAACTGCCGATGCTAGAGTTAGAGATATCACAGTGTGGAGCTGGATGAACACTGCAGGCCAGGCAGCATCAGAGGAGCAGGAAAGTTGACGTTTCCGGTCGGGACCCT